TATTTTACTGCTTATTATGGTTATGATTCTTATCATCATCATTATGGGTGAGGGAGGGCTACATGGCCACAGTGACTCAGGAGGTCAGAATCCCACTGTGAATCCTCATGATAAAACTGAGGCTGGCTTTTGTGCCAAGCACTTTCCTTATTGAACCATCTCAATGGTCCTCATAGTTTCTTTCATACAATGACTTCATAATACCCGGTCTCTTTGCCTTGCAAATTTGTTACCAAGATCAAATGAAAACAATTTAATTATGCTGCATTACATAAAAGGATGGGGCACTTTCTTCTTCTTCTTTTGTTTTATGAAGATTTATTTATTATATATACAGTGTTCTGTCTGCATGTACTGCATGTAACCCTCAAGGCCAGAAGAGATCTCATTACAGGTGGCTATGAGCCACCTGCTGGGAGTTGAACTCAGAACCTCAGGAAGACAGTGCTCTTAACCTCTAAGTCATCTCTCCAGCCTAAATGTGTAGCCCAGGCTGGCTTTGAACTTGTGATTCTCCTGCCTCTGCCTCCTTCAGCAAATCCTACTGGTGTGCGCCACCACAGCCAGCCCAAACAACTTTCTAAACAAAACACACACTTCAATAATGTGTGGTGGTGCATTGCTCGCAGTATCAGTACTCACAAAGTTGAGGCAGGGGGATAGTATGTTTGAAGCTAGACTAGGCTATATGGAAAGAGCCTGCCTCAGATAAACTCCTCAACCTCAAAACAATAATGACAAGATTCCTACAGATGCTAACCAACACATCAACTTTCACCATTCTTTCTACAGCATCTCATCAGAGAAAAGAGAGACAGTGTCTGTATGAATGAGGCCTTCATCCCTCACCCTTCACATTCCCAGGCAAGTGGCCTTAGACAAGCAGTTATCTATGTATTAGCATGGGGCTATTTTGTTATTATTGGCATATGGTATCAAGTACCTTTCCCCAACTGATTTTTCAAAGCATTCTGGCGAAAGAAAGAAGAAAAAGGGGAGTGACATAAGGAAGAAAGAAAGAAAGAATGAAGGAAGGAAGGAAGGAAGGAAAAAAGGAGGAAGAATCATTACTGTGCTCATTTACAGCTGAGGTGAGTTGGAGGCATGCAACAACCAATCTGAGCCATGTCGTGTTCAGCTGTGGTCCTGGAAGCATCACCCTCAGTAGCCTGGCTTTCTTCCCCAGCAATAGGTAGATCTTGTAGGCTGCCCCAAGAAGGCAGGGACAACCGAAAGCTGAATAAGCCAGGACATCTTATCCTGGCCAGAAACAAGCCATGTATTTCTGGAAAATGCAGTATTCTGTTTCTTTGAGAGGAAGATTTTTTTGGTGGGGGAAAGGTCCCCACACAAGGCCAAAACAAACCCCATAAACAACGACCCTAACCCATTCAAACAAGGGAAGCACTGCATTTTGCTGATGTCAGCCTAAGCAGATGCAAAGCGCACTGACTGATTCCCCTCCCCTCCCCCGTTGTGCAGCCAGCTTTTGCACACATCACAAAAGGGCAAAATGAGTTTGGGAACCTTTCAAGCAGAGAACAGCTGAGAACCAGCCAGAAAGCTAACCGTAACCCCGTTTTCTTTTATGTAGACTCCAGCGTTAGCTGTTGTTTCCTCAGGAAGTGGATCCTGCTGGGGTTGTGGATAGCTGTGTAGATGAAAATCTGTTTTCATGTCCTGAGTACATATTTACTTTCAAGGCTTATTTCAAAAATCTTATTAGCTTAATATGCAATTCAGAAATGGAGCCTGTGAGCATAGCATGTAGCCTGAGCTAGATTTGTGACCCTCCCCTGCCCCACCCCCATGACTTTCATATTTTTCCTCAGTGGATGATGCCTGGAACTAGCATTGAGGCTTGGATGGAAAGGGATCCTGGTAGTCCAGACTGCCAAGGAATATTGAATGTTAGAGCTTGGATGGAAAGGAATTCTGGCACTCAGGAGCCAGGGAATACCACAGGTCACAGTAATGGTAGCAGCCCTATGTAACAGCTCTGCTCTGGCAGGGAGGGCTTCCCCAGAGAAGCTGTTACAGTTGGGCTCAGCCAACCCCCGCCCCCCCCCCCCACTCCTGTTCAGGAGAAAAGTTGTTACTTCTCTCCTCAGCTCAGCTCCTTTCTGGCAAAGGAAGGTCTCACCCAAACCCACTTATCTAGGAGAGTGGCTGCCTCTGCCAGGGTGGAAGAAGACAGCAGCAAACTGATCAGGCACAGGGTTTATAAAGGGCTGCTCACAGGCAGAGTATTTCCAGGGACTGCTTGGTTTTCTGCTCAATGGTTGGTTTTCTGCTTAGTTGGTCAGGGGCAGATTTGGCTCTGGTTTTAGGGCAAACTGTGTTTTTCTTCACTGGTCCCTTTTAGCCTTTTGGCTCTAATTTTAGGGCCAGGATGTATTTCTCTCACTGGCTCTGATTCCAGGGACAAAGTGTGTTTCTTTGGTTCTGGTTTCAGGGCCAGAGTGTGTTTCTTTGGCTCTGGCAGGGTGTGTTTCTGTGGCTGGCCCCTTCCCCCCCTACAGGTACACCACACCTCCTTGAAGTGATTATTGGTGGGGAGTGATGCCAATGGGGTTCAGAAGTGCCCCCTCAAATATGTCACTTTGGTATAACTGACATATCTATAAGATGTAAGTTTGAAAATGACAGCAAGGTCCTAATATTCATACCATTTTCTCCCAAAGCAGGTCATAAAACCTACAAAGGATGCTCCGAGCCACTCCCCACCCAGTAGGTCCCAGAACCTTCCTGTGAGAGGGGGCTTTCTTGTCTCGGATGATAGAGGGAAACTAAGGAGAAACCAAGCAGGTGACACAGCTGCCAGCAGCTGTTACAATTTGATCATACCTTTTTCCCCCCTATCATGTTTCTCCAGAACCATCCATTTGCCCTCAAACTTAGCACTAAAAAACATTTAGACTTTTGCCCTGTGTGGTGCTGTGTATCTGTAATCTCAGCCTTGGGGAATGGAGATAGGGGGACCAGGGATTTAAGCCACAAAACCAGTTCAAGGCTAGTTTGGGCTATGTGAGTTTTTATATCAAAAACATAACTAAAACCAATTATACACACGTATATGGTTAGGCTTCATTGTGTTCTGAGTTTTGGGTCTTCATTGCTTTATGCAGTTTCCCATAGAGTAAAAAGTTAAACTTGTCTATTTTTCTCTTGTTAATTTGATTTTGTCACAGGAGCGTTGGCCCTGAGAAGTTGATGGGAAGGCATCCTGTGTCTCCTACAGTTTGCCTAGGATAAACTGGAGGCATCATGGAGCACGCTCTTTCAGTGACAGAGTGTCCTCAGTTCTCCATCTGGATGTCTCACCAGAAAGGACCAGAGACCACAAAAGGATCTTCCCCTTTCCATTAGCAGCTAGTTTCTCTCTGACCCTCTTTTGGAAGAGTTCACACTCTTTTTTGGGGGTTGGGGTTCGAGATAGGGTTTCTCTCTACCTTTGGAGCCTGTCCTGGAACTCACTCTGTATATCAGGCTGACCTCAAACTCACAGAGATCTGCCTGCCTCTGCTACCCCCTTCCGTCAACCCCACCAGTGCTGGGATTAAAGGCGTGTGCCGCCACCACCCAGCTAATACTCACACTTTAATGGACCCTGCACAGTCACAGTGACCACAGTACCATTGGAAGATATGACAGGAAGAGACCACACTCAGCATTTGATTTGTAGTTGCTCTTGATTGACTGAGGACAGTTTCTTTTTATTAAGTCATCTATGAACCACTTCAGTGGATATGGTCCTGGAATGCAGTGAACTGATCACAATGCTGTCACAGCTCTATCAGGAAGATTAGCTTCTCAGCCAGCAAGCACAAATGCCGCAGGTAGTGTACAAGGAATTTCGCCAGTACAGCTAGGTGTAGTTTTCCCTCTCTTTTTGTAATTACAAACTCCCCCCCCAATAAATACATCTGGATCACATAGAAAAGAAGGGATACAAAAGACTCATAAGTGAGAAAGAAACTGACACGCCTTCCCAACCTAGCAGGTTCAGCATGGTAGATGCATAACTCACAGGCTCTGGGATGCTGTTCTCAGTGGCAACCAAAGAATGAGTATACATTGTTTCATTATACATGTGTATTCCATACAGAGTCCATAAATAGTTGAACAGCTGCAAAATTCTGTGCAAATAATGGCGGTTAAGGAATACCAGGCAAATAGCTGTGAGAGCTGTCTATTGTTTGACTACTAATGACTCTAATATTCAACCTACACACAGCAAACCTAATACTTTACATATGTAACAGCCCAGTTATTTCTTTCACATTGAGACACAATGCCTGTGGCCACTCTCCCAGAAATCAATGGTGAAGCGTTACAAAAGCAAATCCAGTTTTAGTCACATGTTTAAAGATAAAAAGCACCCACATAACAACTCCATCTCCATCACCTTTGTAACATAGATGTTCCCCTAAGCAGATGTTCTGACCCCTGCCATTCTTGCTCTTCTTGCCCCTGCAGAAGCACAGGCTCATAATACTAGCTCTTCCCCCCCCTCCTCAGTTGGCATGTGCTGGATTACAATTTAAATGCAAATCTCCAGGAGTCTTGTTATCCAACCTTGTGCAGATATGGCACAGTTGACTGTGCCGACCCTTGGAAGCTTAGTGGGAGGCTCATCTATATTCTTAACACACGAATACACTGAGAGTAGATTCAAAGGAGCAATTCATCATTGCTGTGAAATTAAAGCCAGTACCTAGTTACAGTGGAATGCCATTCTTGGAGCACAGAAGCAAACTTTTCTACAAAGGCAGTGAGATAGGAACTTCTCTCCCTGTTGCCATTCACTGAGTTCCCCACGACATTAGATAATTGGAAGAGGCCTCATTTTTGCAGGAAAAAGCTTGGAGAGTGGAAAAGACACATCTAGGGCGGTGCTACACACAGCAGGAAGACCATTTACATTTATTCCCAACAAAACCGGCAAGAAAATGACCAACAGTGACTTACCAAACCCACATAGCTCCAAAAGGCACACTTTTATTTATTTATTATTTATTGCAAAATCATCTTTCAAATATAAGGTTACTTTAAAATAATTCTTTGGTTAAAGTATAATTAAGAAGTAGAAAGACTCCCAGGCCGTTCACTACGGGATTAAAAAATAACGTCTTCTCTCAGCTATCATATGGCCACTTAATCAGCCATTCAGACTGCATGAATTTGAATGCAAAGGGAAAGACACACTTATCTGAATGCTATTGTCACCCTGGGGTGAAGCAACGGGCTCCTCATAGCCAAGCAGTGATGGCGAGGAGAGCCTGGGAAAAGGACGGCCCCAGTGTGTGCATTAACATTCGCCAATTATTCCGGTCGGTCCACAGAGGAAATCACAGGGACAGAGTCCTACCCAGGAATAACACTGCAGCATGAGCACACTTGTTAAAGCAGGTCACTGTTTAGATGTGTAATACCATAGTAATTCATTTCCCTTGGTGGATTTTCAGGTATCAGATAGCTTTCCAACACTTACAAAAATAGGAGGGGCACGAAAATTTTCTTTTGATTATTTTTGTTTGCCCTGTGCCGACTCATTCCTTTTCCCAAATATCATTTGAGCTAATTAGCATGAGCTGCAGATCAAACAGAACTAGCCTCAACTCAGGGTCACAGCCAGCACAGAACTTCTGTATGCACATGAAATGGGATGACAGAGATGTTTCTTTACACACAGATTCTATGTGATTTAAAGGATCACCCAGCTGGGCCCAATGTTTAATTTTTTTTTTTAAAGTAGGCAAGCATGCAATGTTAACAGAATACAGATCACCCAGCCAATTTGATAAGCAATTTGGATAATTAAACTTTTCTGTACTCAAGAGTTTTTTCCAGAAACTGACTTCAGATGCTGCTCCCTTTGGCTCTGTCAAAAATCACCCAGGACTCTGTCTATATTGCATTAAGGACAATGGGATGTGGCCCAATCAAAGTGAGTCTTCTACCTAGACACTTAAAACTAAGACAACTGAGAGAGACAGAGGGGAGAGCCTAGCAGGGACTGTTTTTTTTTTTTTTTTTTTTTTTTTTTACACGCACAGACAATTCTTCGTAGTGTCAAAGAAATCTGATGATCTGCTTGGAGTGCCCAGTCTGGAGAGGCAGTGGTGAATCATTTTGGATATGAGTGAATGGTGGGTTCATGTCAGTACAAACACCAGAAGAATAAGTGACAAGGACATTACAGTGGCTGCACTGTAACTTCCCCTCTGAGACTTCTAATCGGAGTCTCTCCTCCAAGATGTTCTAAGATATTGATGTGTCACCATAGAATTACATCCATTCTGGAAGCTGGGCCCAAGTTCTTTCCATACTAGCAAAAATCATAGCTTATTTATCAAGCTGTAAAACAGATGACATATTTCTCTGCCTTACAGTGAACTCTCTCACACCAGGCTGCTGTCTGTGGACCTAGTGGCTATTCACACAATTAAATAGACATGGATAAGTGACATTTTGGTTTGATTGTCATTTATTCTTTTTTTTAAATACACACACTCTCTCTAAATACATGAAGTAGGTGTGAAGAGAGTCCACAGACAGGCTGTGACTCTCAACTCCCTTCAAGCAGCCCTACCTTCCATCTATTTTAAATTATCACAGAAAAGCAAATAAGGACAGCCAAAGGAGCAACGCAGCCATGACTGCCATCACTCAAGTCAGTCCCCTGACTTCCTTAAACAACCTTAAAGAACTGGTTTACCTATGGATGCTCCTCCACAGCCAACACAGACTGTATGTGTACAACTCGACCCTCAGTATAGCTTCGAGAAATATCCATATTGCACAGAAGGAATTTCTTGCTGATCAAAAAAAAAAAAAAAATCGAACACATATTCTTCCAGATCTCAACCTCCTTAACCACTTAACACAGTCTAGAGCCTGGGTGGAAAGACAAATCTTGACTCAGACTGGCTGAGGGATTTCACAGCTCATCCGGCTATCATAGGGGTAATTTCAACTTGATTAATATTCTGCAAGTTTCTGTAACTCCCATTCAATACTTCACCCACTTTCTTTATTTCCCCCTGAGTATCTCAAAGTGCTTTGGAGAGCAAAGGTGCTTCTCTCCCGATTTCACAGATAGAAGCATGAAGGGCCAGGCTGCTCTGGAGATGGAGTGGTGGTACCAGTGTGAATGCTGGAGTCCTTAAGCAGATGCTTTGCACACTAGTGAATGGAGTCTCTGGGGGTGGACTCTGCTCTATGACCCAAGGACTACTCTTCTGGTTTCTAATAACGACCAAAGCACTCCACAGCGTGGCTTTGCCTAACTTGCAAATGAAGTACAAAAGACTATCCCATCCCCAGTAGGATTGGAGACACAGACCTTCCCCTTGCATGTCTCCTGAGGGTGGGGGCAGCTCTCTGGGAGAAGAGTGAGGCTCTTTAGCCATGCATAGCCTGAAGAAGGGTGGTGGTCTCTGCTGCAGCAGGTGCCCCAGCTTAGGAAGACAGTTCTCCAAAGCCATGTTAGCTAGGCAAGTCCAGAGAATATGAGTTTTGTTTTCTCCTTCTGAATCATGCCTTGCATTGATGCAGTCTCACGTTAAGACCCCCTAAGCGTGAAAAGAAATATGCTAAATGATTCTGAGCTGTCCACTTTGAATGCAGTGTGGACTTTTCCACTGCTACTGAACATCCTGAGGACTCATCTACAATAAGCTAGTTCTTCCCATCACTCAGGCAGCTTATTCTTGTAGCAAGGTCTCTCTCCAGTTGAAGCCCCCAGTGGGTCCATGGGTAAGGGGGAGGATAGGCGGGTCTGTCAGCTGCCATATTCCAGTTTCTCCCAATTCTTCGCAGGAACAGAAGCCTAGGTATGGGATCTGAAGTCAGAGCAGCAAGGAAAGGGGAAAACAGAAGACCAAGAGTTAATGCCTTGACCTTTGTCTTGACACAAACACTCCAGTGTTTCCAGGATGCACAGGCAAAAATGTAAAACCTTTTAAGTCAACAAGCAATCCTAAATGGACGAGTCCGGTAAATCTAAGACAACAGTGCTGGTTTTGATCAGTAGGATCTGGTCCATGGTAAGCACCCCTGCTACATGACTACAGATTATAGGCTGATAGTGTGGGAGACAAGAATAGAAGTATGCACAGGGATTCACTCCTGATTCTGAGTGAATGTCTGATACACATACAGTATCAGACCCTGTATATGTTTTCCCCCTATATTTACACATCTCCAATAAGGTTTAATTTATAAACTAGACACAATAAGACAAACATCAATAATAAACAGAGCAGTTCTACCAATACATTATAATAGAAGTTATATGAATGTGCTCATGTCCAATAGCTGCCAATACCACAGTTGACCTCAGGGTTGGGGAGACTACAGTAATGAAATTGTACCAAAGATTAAATTCCAAATTGCATTATCAAGTTAAGAGACATACCAAGGATTTCTCACATTATATTTTGGCATAATGGGAAAGAATATAAAGGTCTTTTGAGTTCTCATGTAGTCCAGACTGGCCTTGAACTCATTATGCAGCTAAGGATGATCTTGAAATCCTGATCATCCAGTATCTATTTCCAAAGGACTAGGATTACAGACATGTGCTACCACACCTAGGCAGATCTCTGTGGGTTTGAGATCAGAGAGCTACTAGTATATGAAGTGAGTTCCAGGACAGACAGGGCCACACAAAGAAATCCTATCTCAAAACCAAAATCAAACCACCTCCCAAAATGAAAGAAAGGAAGAAAAAAGAAAAAAAGAAAAAAAGAAAGAAAGAAAGAAAGATGTCAGCACTGTTTTGTGGGGAGCACAGCACACACACACATGTGACATTCAGAACAGAAACCATGGGCTGTCATGGCAACTCAGAGCTTATTTTTGTGTTTTGTGTCCAGAGGCACAGTCATAAATAAGACTGCCAACCTGCCACACTCCCAGTAGCTTACAGACTAATGGGATGGATACATGTCTAAGGGAGCATTCTTTTTTTTTTTAAAATAAGAAAATTGTGGCTGAGTTTGAACTAGGGTCTCTATTTAAAGGGAAAGGAGACAGTGTCCTCACCTGAAGAGATGTGTGGGGGATGTGGCTGATGGAAAATACAGGCAGAAGAAAGAATCTAGATCAGAGGGTAAGGTCAGCATCCTGGGGCTTCTGTCCTGCCTTGGTTTACCTTTCAGTCTGGTTGTTCTCACAGGCAGCATCCCCTGGCCTGCCTGCTGGGCTCTCTCTTCAGGCTAAGATCTTGGCTGTATTCTTATTTGCCTTTTCTTATTCCCTCATTACTTATAGTTCTTAGCTTCCTCCATAAAACCTTTTCTTCTTACACAGTCCTAATCAAATACCCCACAGAGTTCCCCTGAACACATCTTGACTGAGTGAATTGGTAAACGAATCTTCCCAGCTCAGTAGAAAATTCTGCTTCAGGGAAATTAGCTATCAGCCAGTCACAGACAGTTAGGAAAAACGAAAAGTACCACCGACCCCATAAATGCAAGAGTGAACTACCTTCCGGACCATTTGTACAAAGTCCTTGGAGTTCTGAGGGGACAGGCCTTGGAGTTGACAGGTACAGGCTTCGAGGGAAGATGCATGGGCCACAATCAGAATGTTATTTCCTAGGAATTGAGAGAGGCTCATTACCACAACTGGCTCACTATATATCACATACACATATTTTGAAATCACATTGCACTCTATACATGCTAACTAAAAGTTTTAAAGAAATCTAGGGGTAGAGTTCAGTGGTAGAACATTTCTAGCATGTATAATGTCCAAAACATGAAAATAAATAGGTAAATTTTGGGGAGGAGAATCTACTAAAACACACTTCTTTGAAAATATTCATAATAGTTTCGAATACCTTGTATGTCATAATATCTAATACCTTCTATGATAATTTAAAAAGAACTATGTAGTTGGATTTTCTTTTACTTTAGCCCTATATTGGAATGACAAATGTACTTTTTTTTTTAACTCTTTACTCTTTGGGGACCCCACCAGCCAGCTCCCAAATAAATCATGCAAAGTCTTATTAATTACTTAAAAATGCCCGGCCTAGGCTTGGATAATTTCTAGCTAGCTTTCCTTAAATTGTTCCTTCTACCTTTTGCCTCTGGGCTTTTTACCTTTTCTTACTTCTGTATATCTTACTTTCACTTACTCCATGGCTGGTTGTGTGGTTGGATAGCTAGCCTCTAGCATCCTCTCTTTATTCCTGCTTCTCCTTCTCTTTTTCTCCTTCTATTTACTCTGTCTGTCAGCCCTGCCTATCCTTTCTCCTGCCTTGCTGTTTGGCTATTCAGCTCTTCATTAGGTGTTTTAGACAGGCAAAGTAACACAGTTTCACAGAGTTAAACAAATGCTCCACAGCATAAGCAAACGTAACAAGTCTTAAAATAATATTTTATAACAGAACTAAAAATTACTTTCAAAGAGAAAAAGTAGACTTAATTACAGATTTATAGGAAGTTATACCCTCATACCCTGCTGGAGTAAGGTCTCACGTCCTTTCACCCAGCCTCCCCCCATGATTCCATGCTTTATGATATGGTTTACCACCAAAAACATGGAAATAGATATGTGTACAATTCGTTTTTCGGTGATGCCCTCACATGTATATCTTTGTAACTATCACTGCAATTGAGACACAAGCTTACACTCTACATACATCAGCAGGCTCCCTAAGGCAGCCCCTCTAATACAGTTTTAATTGTCACAAGGGCAGAACTGTGAACATTTGAGACCTCATAGTTGAGAGCATGCCTCATGAATCTCCATAGTAGTGAGTAGCTTATCAGTAATAACCACCATGTAGGAGTCATTCATCCTCAGTTGCCCATGACTATCCACTGTTAATATCTGCATGTATGTAGTTGCCAAGTTTTGCTCCCTGAGAATAAATACATTAACCTAAAGCTCATGGTGGGCAGTTGGCCTACATGTCATCAACTATTTGAGACCAGTCTCTAAGATGCAAACAGACTTGAGTGTTACCCAGCACTGCTCTTGGCTAGTGACAGCAGGGGCAGTGAATGCATTTCTGTGGGAGTAGATGTGTAGATGTCCCCATCCTAGATTACTGCAGGTAAATTATATTCTATTCTGGAAAACATAACTGGGCATCCTCTCCATAGGATACAAAATGACAAGCTACAGCACAGAGCCTAGCTTACTTAATAAAGTAATGTCATCGACTGGGTTCCTATGCAATACCTACCATGGTAGATCCTCCTAGAATATCACAAACTAAATCTGAAAGGCTCTACAAGAAAGCCTGGGAACATTTTTCTTTTCTAGTGAATTTTAAAAAGCAAATTCAAACATCCCAAGCAGTTCATAAATCATGGAGAGATGTTCATTTACTAATGGAGTCCTAAATCATGCCACCTACCTTTGTTTTTACATTCGCTTATTATCTCTTTCGTCACCTGGAAACTTCTACTAATGTAGCTGTCATAGGATTCGGAAATCACCAATTTGCTGACTGGAATGTGAGGTCTACAATGGAAAAGTGAACAAAGGATAAAGGAATGATATCACCCTAAATATTTCCAGATCTCTTGGGAGATACATATTTCTGTTTATCCATTTCTCTGGAAAGGAAGGAGGTGAAGGGAAAAGAATTTCCATCAGGCAGACACTGAGGTCTAAAACCTAGAGTGCTACTCACAGTGACTCATTGGAAAAATGAGGCATTCAGTGAATGTCTTGCCCACACTGACACACTTAAGCAGACTGCATACTTTTCCTTGACATTACTGGTCACTGAGAATCCTTAACCATTTGGCCAACAGGAAACAAAGTGGAGATGGGCTCCCTCTGTATAGACACCTGGAGTGCCCAAGGTTTCTTTGGCAGCTTTATTCACATCCATCTCTTTGTGAATCTATGAGATTTCCACCAGCCACTCTTTGTGTCTTATTTGAAACCATGCACCTAGTACCAGAAAAAGCCCGAGGGACATAAAGATGAATTGAGTTCTCCACTTGATAAGCTCTCTGTGTGAACCAGGTGGGGAGGCTGCAGATGGAAACCGTAACTGTGAGACACAATCTACAAAAGAATTTGATAGGAGAATCAACATATTCATCATGGTGACCAGTCACTGATGCCCACAGGGCCCACCTTGGTCTCTTTACATCTCCTTTATTTTATGTGGTTTCTGGTTCATAAGTATTTGTCTAATACTCTTTTCCATTTTCTTGTGTCTCTAATTGTTGAGTGTATGGTGCTTAGTGCAGGTGGTGTTGAGCTCTCAAAATACACATGTCATCTTCGTTATAATTTTAAAATCACTACTGTTAAAATTAGTATGAAAACTATTTACTGAGAGGACCCACACACACCAGGGCTCTCTGAAAGCGCACTGTCTGCATTCTTCCAGCAAAACTTGCATAAACTCCAAGTCTCTAGGTGACCAAACAGCTGACTTGCTGGAGCTGAGATTGAATATGATGTGCCCTGTGAGCTGGACCTCTTACACAGGGCAAATACCTAGAGTGTCGTCTTCAAGATCACCCATCATGGCTGCAAATGCAGGTACAAACTTGAAATTTTGGCACTCACTGGGCTAAGGCAGGAGAACTGCCCATGGAAGCTGAGGACCAGCTTGGGTTGTATAGCAAAATGCTCTCTCAAACAAACAACCACCCAACCAACCAAACAAATCAACAGTCAACCAACCAATCAAACAAAACCCCAAAACCTGCCCATTCGATGCTCTTTCTTATTATCAGGAAAGCCAATATTGCTGTTTGGTGAAAACTCGCTTTTCCTGACTCTTCCCAAGGACATGCAGAGGCAAGAGTCAGCACCACTTAAGGATGGACATCTTTGTACTGGAATGAATTCCTCTGATGCATTTCTACTGTGCTTGATATTATCCTGTCTCCCAGGAGCTCCCCTCTCTCCCCAATTCTGTAAACAAAAGGGCCACGCTCGTTCTACGGTCAGGGAGTCACTTGATGGGTGAGACCACACTGTCATTTGAAATTTGTGTAGATGAAAGATGGGATCCTAGGACCTAGCTCTTCATCTGTTCTTGCCTTTGGCTTCTCTCAGCATCTTAAAGGATGTTCTGATGGCCATGGTGCAGAGTCTAAGTTTCTCCTATAAGCAGGACCTATCACAATGCTATCTATACTTACAAGGCCCTGTATCGCCCCTGTGAAAAGTCACTGGACCCCCAAAGGGGTCTCAACCCACAAGTTGAGAATTCCTGGCCTATTCATTTGGTGCTATTTATGACATAGTGGTTAAGTCTACCATATTGCCTCTCATATGCTTTAATTTTTTGTGGAATTGGAGGCTTCCTATTCCCACTCAAAACTGACAGAAAATGTTACACTGAATTTTAAAATGGAAAAGAAAACCTACAATAAGGACCATGTCTTGATCCAGTAACTCCCAGCATTCATCCTGCCTGCACAACTTGTGGGTGTGTGGCCTGGGTACACATCTGGCGTGCAGTGAAAAGTTCAGTGAGAATGCATTTGCAGAACTTTTTTTAGGTCCTCCTGGGAAATATCATAGAACACATACATACACAGAGGAAACTAAAACACAGCCGACCCAATGTGACTCGGATGGGGCTGGATGGAGAGAGGGGAGAGCTATTTTACTGATGCAGGCAGTAACCTGACCTGTTTCCCAGACAGAAAGGTAATGGCGCTGTCACAGGAACAATATTCTACTACTATTTCCCTCAAGGAAGAGGAAAACAGTGGCCAGAGAGAACACAGATCAACCTGTGAGGGGTACTAGTGATGAGTCCATTTAATGCTATGTTTGAGGAATGCTAACTCCCTTAAGGCAGGGAGGAGCACAGAGCTGAGTGACTGAGTTATCTTAGCTCCTACACACAGAGCAGAAGTGGGATATGGAAACAGACATTCTCTCATCTTGTCCAGGCACCCAACAGATTATTCACAATTAAAAGTATTTGAAGGAGAGGCCAACAGAGAGCACAAGGAAGAAAGTTCTATGCAGACTGGTCCCTTTGCTAAATTCTGCCCTAAGAGAGAGGAGTTTCATTTCCTACTGGAATGCTTGTAGTTACCTGTCTTTCCTCAAAGTGTTAGGGTGGGGTTTTGAGATATTGCCAGTGTATTATTATTGGTTAATTCTTTACTAGGAATGTAGATTGTTTACCTGGAAGCATTAAAAAAAATCCTAGCACAGAGTATAGTCCAATGGAAACATCAATAGAAAAGGACTAAAATGGTTGTAAGGCAGAACACACAGAACCTGAGACACAGAAGGTAATGTAATAGTAATGTCATTGTTATTATTTCTATGCATGATCACAAAACATTTTACAACAGGCAAGCTATACATGGCTTTCTGGGCTAGGAACATGACTCAATAGAGTGTGTGTGTGTGTGTGTGTGTGTGTGTGTGTGTGTGTGTGTGTGTGGATACACACACCATATTCACTTTCATTTTCCAAGATCATAGAAATAATAAATGAACATAGAAAGAAGAATTTTAAAATCCAGTGAAAGCCAAACATGGTGGCCCATGCTTGTAGTCTCAGCCCTTGGAAGACACAGACAGGAAAGTCATGAGGTCCAAGTCAGCCTGGGCTACATAATGAGACCTTGTCTCAAAAGGATAAAAGAGCAAGAGATTTGGAAAATTTAAAGTAAAAATGGAAAGCTGACACAATGTCAGCTTCCTGAATCCACTGAGCTATTTTATCAGCCCCTTATGTGTGTCCCTAAAATACAAAATGGCTTTACTTTAATATTGAAGTGGATACAATAAAGTTAGGAAATCTGAACACAAGAGTGAGTGGGGGGTACAGAGCATGCTAACATTAAATACAAGGAAGCACTACATTTCCCCCGGTTTTTCTAAAATCATAGCTTGATTTCTACTAGTGTGAACAACTTTCTGGAGGCCTTGTGAGGTCCATCATCTGCTTGATGAACATGGCGTAGGAACAGTGCAGGAGACAGAACCTTAGGAAGACAGCAAGGCAGAGGTTACCTGTAGGTTGTATCAACACTCAGGTTGGCTGCAGCTAACTCTGATGGAGGTATCCATGCCGGTAACGTGCTCCCAGCAACCCATTTTGTCCATTCAAATAAGCCCGGCTCGACCCGAATCTTCAAGTGATTGTCTTGTTGTAAACCTTAGGGATGAAGTAAAATGAAGATGAAGGAAGTCTCACTAATTGTCAGTGGAGAGAATGAGCCACAGGACAAGCCATTACAAAATTTACGAGGCAGAGCAGGATGTACTGCCAGCTTTCAAAGGAGTGAAGCAACCAAAAGTCCTATCCAGCTCTAGTGTCTATAACCATAATGATGATGAGCATGGCAAGATAACCTTGATGGTGTAGTAGTGGCATGCTAACCAACAGCACCCAAATTGGACCTGGTACTAGAAACCTAGCCAACTACCAGGGGCCAGTGAAGTCATGGATCTTGGGGGAGAACCTGCAATGACCACTTTACTAAACCAGCATAATCCCCAACTACATTCTAAATATTTATCCTTATACCCACAGACAAGCATAGTCCTCACCCTTCATCAAGGAAACTTTGCTTTGCAACAGATGAAACACATCACAGAAGACCACAACCAATCAAATGCAGAGCTGTGGAGCCCGGTCCCAAAAGATACATCTACAGAACACTTCCACACTTAAGGCTCAGGTGAACATTGAGAAAGAGGGATCAGAGACATTGGAAGAATCAGGGGATCAGGGAGTTTGCTACCAGAGTGTGTCTCCTAGGAATATGAGAAGATACACCCATAAAGCTTCACAAACATGAGCTGAACAAAGATGGCGCCAGCAGACATGATGGCGAAGGGGGGTGGGGGGAACTGAGGATAGCAGAGGGTGTTTTACTCCAGGGAAGAGCATATCCAATGGCCGTCCAAATGGTCAGTCTGAAAACACACATACAAGTAGCATTGTACAAACTGAGCACGCTGTACTTATGTATTTAGAAACATGATGCACATAGTAACAACTGATGAAGAAAGAAGTCATGAGAGAGAGCAGGGTGGGGTGACGGGAGGGCTTGAAAGCAGGAAAGGGAGGGGGAAATGATGTAATTATACAATAATCTCAAAAAATAAAAACAACTGTTTTTAATTACAAGGCAGTGATTCCTTTCCTACTAGACTCATTTAAGTTGGAAGCACACAGGTTTGGACAAAGTTTATACAATGTGAATTGAAAATTTATTTAATAAGTAAATTGTACAGCTATAGGTAAAGCACGTGTTTAAAAAATAAATTTTTTGTTTCCCAACATGTGCATTTATTACTCTGGCTGCTTCAACACATATGCTGGCTGATACCTGAGAACTCACCCCTCTACAAGTCACTCACTACTCAAGCTGTCCAAGCTTGTGACTATTTTACAGCCAGGGACAAAAGTCTCACTATGTACCTTAGGCTGACTTCAAACTCTCAATCTTCCTGCTTCAGCTTCCTCTGGAGTGCTGGGGTTATAGGTGTGCACCACCACGCCCCACTCATTTCTCTATTATAATCCTTTCTAAAGTGAAGTCCATGATGTCTTACAAAACAGAACGCAAACTCAAGACCTTCCGCTCTTCTCATGGCACCCACTACTGAGCAGAGGCTTACACTGTATTTGAACGTCATATAAATTACTTGCCTTGTCTATCAAGGAACCCAGAGTTGAATGTTTACAAGGGACAATGCACAAGTTCTGTTTTATCACAGCATGATTCTCTAGGAGTAGAAATCTTCCCTTTCTATTCACATAGCTCTCCTTACACTTCCTTTAGTCCAGTTTCTCTGTGTACAAGAGACTGCACAGATGCCTCTGTACCGAGAGGAAGTTGTACTTAAGGCTAAGAACAGAGGACTCAAGTGTGTTAAATTCAAATGCTGGTTCATTTGTTTGTCTGACTCAAATTCAGCCCAACTCCCTGCCTCCCTGTCTCCCCAGTCCGTCTTCTTCCAATGGGTTGAGAATGGCTCTAATGCAAACCTGCATGGATTTTAGGATGAGAGTTGAGTACTTATACAGTGATGGGGCTCTAAAAGCCTTTCTAGTTTGTGCGGCACTGTGGTGTGCACCTCTAATCCCAGCACTTGGGAGGAGGCAGGAGGATCTATGTGAGTTTGAGGCCAATCTGGCCAACAAAGTGACTTTCAGGCCAGTCAAAGCTACATGGTGAGACCACATCTCAGAAAGTAAGTAAATGAATAAATAAGTCTTTCCACTTAAGTGAAGGAAGCAAGATGGCAATGATGCGGAACTCCTAACAGCTCAGCTGCTGCTGCCAAGAAAAGGTCAACAACAGACCCAACTGCTTAAATGCAAAGAGAGACTCATGTCTGTAAAAGGTGTAAATACTTTGTACTGCTACAGTCCATCCAAGACAGCTTAAAATTCTTAGAGAAAAATGATTAGTAACCCCTCTCTGTCTGGATTACACTGTCAGAAGACTGACTTTTGTGCAAGGTTGGTCATCTTCTGGAAGAATCCTCAATAAAAATTCAAGATTTGTGTGAGCCACAGTGGCTCAAGCCCATGGTCCTAGCACCCAGGAGGCTGAGCCAGGAGGGTTGCTGCAGGTTCAAGGGTAACCTGGGCTACACGTCACCTTGAAACCAAAACAAACTTTCAGTTCTTGAAGCTCCGTAACCGCAGTAAGTGCAAGGAAACAGAGGGACGAACTACGTAACCACTGTCAAGCCAAGAATCTTACCTTTCAATATATTATGTGCAGTCTGAACGCAGCGTAGGGATGGAGAGCAATAAACGTGATCAATAACGGTGTTACTTTCTAACAAGGCTTCACCTGCCGAGCAAATCAACAGAGAGTCAGCATGATAGTGTCTCTTGGGCTTCATCTTGACCCTCGATGGAAGAGTGCCAAGCAGACCCATACATCCCCTGTCCCAGCAGGAGCTCACAGAGAGCCAGGAGCATCGGCCAGATCCCTCATCAGTGTATCCATGAACAAGGCCAAGAAACATGCCTTTTTGTCCCTTTTTCTTTCTTTCTTGTACCAGCACGAAACAAAATGCCCTCTTGGGAAGGCCTACCAACAGGGTATGCTCTGACTCTACTAGAAAGATGCTGAAACCCACTCTGTGATAACAGGGAGAACGTTAGTGAGACCTTGTTATAATTCCAGTGTGCTAACCCTAATCTCAGACTCCTGAACACCAGAAACCCACCTAATGTTTTAATGCTTCCTGATGTGGTTTATGTCTTTTCTCTACTAAGTAAACTCTAAGTATCTTCATGTGGTGTCAATGTCTGCCATGGACTTGGTTACCCTGTCACCCCAACCCATTCTCTTGACCTGACTCAACTGCTCTAGAAATAAGAAATGGACACAATATCCCTTGTACTCATTATTACTATTATGTTTATTTATTTACTTAGGGTTTTTTTTTTTTTTTTTTTTTTTTTGAGACAGGGTTTCTCTGTGTATCCCTAGCTGTCCTGGAACTCACTCTGTAGACAAGGCTGGCCTCAAACTCAGAGATCCACCTGCCTCTGCCTCTCAGGTGCTGGGATTAAAGGCGTGCGCCACCACCACCTGGCTTCCCCTCCACTCTTAATGCCTTTATTTTTAAAGTATTTATCATTGTTGTTATTGGTGGGGGGGTTGTGTCAGAGAGAGAGAGAGAGAGAGCAAGAGAGAGAGGAGAACGCGTGTACATATGGAGGTCAGAAGTCAACTTTATGGAATGGGTTCCCTCCTTCCACCTTTATGCAGGTTCTGGGGATTGAACTCAGCTCACCAGGCTTTTGTTGTAAGTGCCTTTACTCACTGAACTATTAGTTTGCTGGGATCTTCTGATGCTATGTCTAACCTCTGTGCTTTTGATCATATGGTCTTCTATGGCAAGAACACCCCTCTCCCTCTGTTCCTTCTTCACAGATGACTCCCATGTGAGCCCCAGTTAACATTACCTCTTAGCCGTCCTTTTTTTTCTCTCTCTCTCTCCCTGCCTCCCTCCCCTCCCCTTTCTCTCTCATCGCTTCCTTCCATCCCTTCTCTCTCTCTCTCTCTCTTTTAATTCTCCTCATACTCTGTGCACTTTGTTATTCAGTCAGCCATACATTCTGATAGTTACTGAACAGCTTCAAAACGTCACTGGGCCTGTACAAAGTCAGTAACACCCCTGCACCCCCCTCTCTCCCTCCCTCCCTCTCTTTCTCTCTCCCTTGGTTTTTTGAGACAGGGTTTTTCCGTGTAGCTTTGTAAACCAGGCTGACCTAGAACTCACAGAGATCTGCCTGCCTCTGCCTCCTGAGTGCTGGGATTAAAGGCGAGCATCAGCACCGCTTGACTTCCCCTGCACCTCTTAACCTCACATCTTACACCATACTGGCACATGCTGTTGTCTTGAGCTATCAGCCAATACATCTACTAGACCAGTGGTGTAAGTAAACCAAGCCTGACTATCCTTCTGTCACATGGACCACATCTGTTGATCATCAGGGGCCTACCTGTACAGCCCGAAAAAGGTTGTAGGCCACCATGGTGCCTCAAAAAAAAAAATAAATAAAAAAAATAAAAAATCCGCCCCCCAAAATAAATAAATAAATGAAGTGAAGAAGTGTGTTTGCACACCCCTGCTGTGGTTCTGTTGAAGGATCCAGGAGATGCTATGCCATCACAGGAGCCCTTACCCACTAGCCTTGCTTGCATACACCCAAACACAGTGATTGGAGCATCTTTCTCATAGTCCCGGAAACCGCCGCTCCGCTGAGGTAAGCTGTGAGGCATGTTCAGGTTGGTGCGTATGTAGCGGCCTGGTGGGGGAAGAGCAAACAAAGGCTGCACAGACTCCTTGTTTACTTGAGACTCTTCCATGATCCTGACCCCTCCTTCTTGGTCAAAGACACTGAATTGAACCATCTGAAGCCAATGGAAAACACTGAATCTGACACTTTTTCTTCAGTAGATTGACTAGAATCCACTCTCTCTTTTGTTGATAACAGCAATGAGGGTGTTTCTTAGTGAATATAACAACCAGATACAGGCAAGGATCCCATTCTTAAAATGCCACTCAAACGAGAATGGAACCAGATGGCCCACAGTGATGTCATGGCAGGAGTTCTGATCACAGGATCAGAACATGTCTCTGAACTGATTTTGTTGTCTGAATATGGGCCAGACACAGCTACTTTTTGCTCCCTGGTACCCCAGCTTATAGAATGGGGACAAGAATGTTTATCTGTCCTCTATAAGTTAGAACAATCAAGGACACAGAGATTCCAAGAATTTTGAGTATATGTACATAAAAGTAGCCTGCCTGTGCCCCCTAGAGGCCGTTATGGGTATGCATTGCTGTGCAGGCCATTAATCACCACCACTTAGAGACAGGTGATGTATTCCAAGGGCCCCACTAGATGCCTAAGACCACAGACAGTGATGAATCCTGAACAGACTATGTTTTTTTTTTTCTATAAAAAGAAACCCCACACCTATGATAACATTGAACTTGTAAGTCAGCCACCATAACAAGGAATAATAAAATGATATACTGCAATGCAAGTTACAAAGATATATAGTACAAAATATCTTATTGCAGTGTACTTGGACTTCCTTTGAAAGAGAAGCAAATGCTACTGCTATAGTAGGTTTGATAACTAAGATGATATTAGGCAAGAATTAGGCGGGTACACTGTGGATGCACTGAGCAAAGGGATGGGTGGGACATAGATGGATTTTATTATCATATTACCAAGAGTGCAGGGGTCATAATATAAAACATATGAATTGCTTGTGTGCTGCCTAATTTAAATCAACTTGAGTCATTCAAGACAAGGGAACCCCAAATGAGAAAATGCCTCCATATGATTGAGCTGTAGGCAAGCCTGTACAGCATTTTCTTAATTAGTGATTGATGGGGGAGGACCCATTTTGGCTAATGCCACCTCTGGGCTGGTGATCCTGAGTTCTATAAGAAGGCAGACTGAGCAAACCATGGGGAGCAAGCCATTAAGCAGCACCCTCCATGGCCTCTGCATCAGCTCCTGCCTCCAGGTTCCTGCTCTATTTGAGTCCCTGTCCTGGCTTTCTTCAAATGATAGACTACAATGTGGAAGTGTAAGCCCAATAAAACCTTTCCTCCCCAACTTGCTTTTTGGTCATGGTGATTCATCACAGCAACAGAAACCCTGACGAAGACAGCTTGTTTGAGACTTTTCCACGCACTAGCTTTAGATCATGGTAAACTGTGGGTAACTGAAACCACAGAGTCAAACTGGATGAATGGAGAGACCACACAGTCACTTACCTTTGGCATCAAAGCACTGGGATAGCCAGTACTTCCCGAATACAACATCCATCCTCTCCCCGTGCCGACACACAAAGAGGCATCGCTTCTGGGGCCCGGGCTGACTGTTGACTCTCAGGGGCTGCAGAGAACAAAGGCAAAGAGTGAACATACACACAGCACCCTAGACCTACCCTGATGCCAAGGGAGAGGAGCTCTGGGACAAAGTCTCCTTAACTGCCTTGGGCTTAGTTTGGCCAGTTTGTAAAGTGAGGATAATAAGCTCTTCCTACAGACTCTCAGGCCCGCAAGAGACAGACACCTGCAAGTGATTTGAAGTATGAAGGACTGTGCAAGTGCTACGCTCTTTGCTGCCCCCTACTGTAAAAGGAGAGTTCAAGGTAGAGTTCAAAGGTCAAACCTGCTCTTAATGTAGAGAGAAGGACAGCTATCTCCTCAAAGAGATGTGCCATCAGTTCCTTCAAGGAGGAAGAAATTCTATTGGTACACAAGCGCCTGCGTCATGCTTAGTTTAAATCCAGTGCTCTACGTTGCACATTCTTTTTTTTCTGAAAAATTACTTATTATTTATATGTATGGGTGTTTTTTCTGCATGCATGCGGGTGTACCATGTATGTGCTGTATCCACAGAGGCCAGAAGAACACACTAGGACTGGAACTACAGACAGTTATAAGCTTCCGTGTGGGTGCTGAGGGCTGACTTTGGAGGGGCAGTCAGTGCTCTTAACTGCTGAGCCATCCCTCCATCCAGCCACATTTTGCATATCCTACTCATGTGTGCTCTATTATCTGACTGCGTACATTGGTATTTCTAAAATGGGCTGGGGGAGGGGGAAGGGAAAGCTGCAACTTCTCAATGGTGACACAGGCAACTTGAGTCAATTACTGGTTTCCATAGCTGCTGGGGAACTGCATAGATGTTTCTGCACGGATGCATCAAATGTTCCCAGTTGCTTTGGGCCACTAGGTCCTTGCTGGACAACATTCTTCCACTGGCTCCTTTTTGCTTTGACAGGGGTGATGTGTGGATTGGTGCTGTGGACTTTGGCACCTGCCCTCCAGATGTGCTTTAATTCAAATCTTGGGCTCCAGACAAAAATGTACCTCCTTTGTTTTCATCCTTAAAATGCCGAACTTTCAACATGTCTCTGTTCTGCTTGACTACTCCTACACCTTTTGCCATCCTGTCCCAAAAAGTGTTATCAATACCCTGAATTTTCAAGTCCAACAAGTATGCTAAGAACCTCATTCTCCTGATACAAATATGGGTGTTAACCCTATTTTGAGCAGAAAGCCCCCTTTTCCTTCTTTGTGATGGCCTTGCTTCCAAGCTCACACCCACATGGTGATGTCCATCGGCAGTGCTACTCACCCCTCTCTTCCTAGTTTTGGATTGCTGTGCGTCTTTTATGATCTGTGTACTGTCTCCCCATAAGGTTAGGGACCTTAGAAAGGAGCCAGGTCAGTGCTGAGGATGGCCCTCAGAACATCCTGATTAGATTCCAGGACATGACATGACCCTCGTGGTCAGCCTTACCTGCATGGGCTGGCAGATGATGGTGAGAGGCGTTGTCTCCCCAAGTCCTTGGTCCTCATACTGCCGCCTCTCTAACACTCCATCACCAAATGTGAGAGAGCTGGGTGACAGCGTATTTAAGATGGAGTAGGAACTGCGGAGGAAGCAGAGGGACGGGTTAACTGCTTTGGCCAGGAGTCATCAGCTGTTCATGGTGAGGCTCAACAGGAGTATGGGTATTAGCACAAAGGACTGTCTGGTCATAGGGTATTTGGGAACCTGAGCAGGGAGCAATCCATCCCCAGGCAAGAACATCTTGCTTTTGTTTTTTCCCCTGAAGTATCACAGTTAATAAACAAGGGGTGGACAGTTCTCAGAGTTGAGAACAGATACACGCATCCCTATGGGCAGGGGTTGGGTCCAGTGATTCTAGGCTTATTAGGATACTACAGGCAGGGTTGGCAGCAAAGACAGTTAAAGAGTAATGAAGTATCAATTATGTACTGTTTCAGCTCTTTCTGTTGCTACAGTGAAACAAACAGTCCCTGCTGCCTTTAATCTTTTCCATGGTAATTTCCCCGTGAGGAATGTGCAGGCAGATGTCTTCCTAGCTGCACTTTGCTGTGGCTCTAAGACTCCCAGGGACAGAGCCTTACTCAGCCCTCAGCCCTTATCTCCCCCTCATCCCTTAACCTGCCTTCTTCAGCCTCCATAACACCCCCCCCAAAAAAAGGATTAAAAACTGGGCTGTTTGAGGGGATCTGACTCTTGCCAGATGTTTGGAGCTGTGAGCCAAGAACTCTTATTTCTGACTATGCCACTGTAACTACAGAGGCCCAGAGGCAATCTGACTGAGAGCAAAACTGTCCAAACATGCCACATTGAAATTTCTGCACACAGCACAGCTTTCTAATTTAAATATGGTCACTGGGAAAATCCAAACATCTCCTGGGTCACTGGGTAGTCTCAAAAGGAAGCATTGACTTTTTAATTTCATGCTCTTGGAAAGGCCCAGTTTGCTCAGTTAATTCTGTGTTTGTGTTTGTGGACCCTATGAGCTGTGCAGGTTAGCAAGCGCCCCCTCTGCAGTATTTGTCTTTAACACAGTATGTTTATTAGAATTTAATTTTAAATGTTTTTGTATTTTCTAAAATCAATAAGCTAACTGGTTTCCAGGTTTTTAAAAATCGGCTACCTCTAGCTTTTGTGTTTTTTTTTTTCTTTTGACATATATTCATTGCACACATACTCATAAGGCCGTTGTCATACAACATATTGTCCTTAGGTGCTGGGTGTGGTGGCACACCCCTTTAATCACAGCACTCTGGAGGGGAAAGTAGGAAGAACGCTGAGTCTTAAGTCAGCCTGGTCTACACAGCAAGCTCCAGGGCAGACAGGGCTACACAGAGATCCTGTCTGGTGGCGGTGGTTGATAATGTACTTTGATCACATTTCCTCCCTCTACTTCCACGTCTCCCCCATTAGTTCCCTAAACTCCTCTACACAGTTCCATCTCTACATCCATGGCACACATCTGTATGTGTATGCAATTTTATTACCTCTATAAAGCTTACCATCCACAAGTTAGAGTAAACACACAGTATCTGTTTTTCCAAGTCTGACTTAATTCACTTGTGATAATATTCTCCAGTTGCACCTACTTTCCTCCAAGTAACATAAGTTTGTTTTGTTTTTTGCTAAATCAAATTCCGCTGCATATATTTACCTCATTTTCCTTATTCACCACTCTGCTGACAGACATCAGTGTTGGTTCCATCTCTGAGATGCTGTGACCAGTACTTCAGTAAAAGTCACTGTATGTTGCCTTAAAGTCTATGGTAAATACCCATGAACGATGCAGCCAGGTCAGGAGTCAGAAGTTGGTTGGATTTTTTCTTTTGGTTTTTTGTTTGTTTGTTTGTTTTGTTTTCCTTTCAGACAGGTTTCAGGCTGGTTTCCAAAACCACATGCAGCCAAGACTGGCTTCAAACTCCTGATGCTCCTGCCTCTATCTCCCGAGGCATGGGATTATAGGCATGCATCAATGCCCAGTCTCCATGACACTGAAGATCAAACCCGGGGCTTCAGGCATGCTAGGCAAGCACTCTACAAACCAAAGATGTCCTTAGCCTGACTGTATAGTAAGGCAAAGGTGTCTGACCCTCCCCCCCCCACTCCCCGAGAGATTTGTATCCCTGTGCATGTCAGACGCATGAAGGTGCTGTGGACTGCATCCTGTTCTTTACAAACCATTGTCCAGAGCCTAAGAGGTTGAACCAGGGGCCTGTGGTTCAATGCAGCTATGTCTGTTTAGTATGACATGCAGTCAAATTAAACCTGTTATGGGCAAATTTAAGTAAGTATAGCTCAAGAAAATCTGAGCCATTTACACACTCTAATAGACCAGTTGTTCACCTTTATTTTAAGCAGAAAGCCTCGCCAACGGCACACAATTGAACAAACTTCAGTTTTCCTGTCTGGCTCATCAAAGCTTCAGGCCTCCAGTGTCTAGCTGTCTGGAATCATACTGACATCTCCCTTGCCCACATCTGTAACTTACTTGATCATAGCTGGGAAGAAAATGATAGGGCCCTTCCTCTCCCTCCAGTTCCCTTAGCAAGGAGAATGGCAGCCTCCTTTCTGTCTTCAGTGTTACTAAGATCAAAGGACCTGGCTCCTCCTGAGACAGCTTGGGGACAATGTCAGGCCAGGGTGGAAAAGAAGCAGGCCTGACATTCAGAACCGTCCTCAGGGAGCAGGAAGATTTCAGCTTCTGCCTAGAATATGCTAGGCCTGTTTGAGGGCCAGCAGCTCACCACACTGTAGAGGACAATGGGCCAGCATTACCCAGAAGGGATTTAGGGACACTCAGGAACAAATGACCATCAGGAAGGGCAGTGAGAAAATATTTTCTTAGCTGCAGAAGGCTGAGGAGCAGTGGGTGGGGAGAGGTACAAAAGCAATTGACATTACAAGTCCTTGTACACTCTATGAGCCCTCTCTGCAGCCTCTCATGAAGGCAGGTAGGGTCAAGCCAGGTGGCTCATGTGTCCTCCCACAACTGCTCAACTTTGGTTAGGCTCATGTGAGAAGGCCTGTCTTACAGGGTAGCTGAGGTCTGCCTCTGTGGGTCATTCCTGCAGTGGTAAGTACAGCAATAAAGTACAGCTCACCCGGGCAGGCCATTTTAATGGAAAAGACACTTACTTTAATGAGGTTTGGTAAACATAGACAAAAATTATATATATATATGTATATATATATATATATATACACACATATATATGTATCTATATGTACACACACACACACACACACACACACACACATATATATATATATACAGTCAGCAGATCTTATAAAGCTGATCTCTATTGCAGCCATTACCACAGTTCTACTGTATGTGTAATGATTATGTCCATTTTAGTGGCTCAGAGAAATAATTCAGTTTGGGCAAAGTTTACGTGGCTGGTACAAGAAAAGAGTAAGGATTTGGATATAACACAACTAAAACTCAAATTCTTAATCAGAGTCTCAAAGCCTAATCTGTATATTCTGATACTTAGCAGAGTCAACTGTGGACCTGATAGCTTAATTTCAAACAAAGTTCCCAGGAAATAACATCAACAACTACCTTCAAAATAAAAGATGGCACGGAGACCTTCCATAGTGCCCTAAGGGAGGTCAGCCAGATTCCTCCATGGTGAAGCCTGAATTCTAGTTCAGGGAGGAGGTCTACATGGAAGGTCTTATATGGGTTAGTGGGACTTGATGTGTGTTCTCTTCACTCACATATGTCCCCATTTCTAGAAAAGAGATCCATGAGCCATGCTTTATCAAGCAAATTATCCCCACTTACTGGGGAGATGTCCTGGGAAGTGTATCACTGGGCGATTTGTCAGAATAGCATCAGAGTGAGCTTAAACTAAGTTGTTAGCATGCCATGTGACACAATTCAGGGGACCATCATGTATACAAGGTCCACCCCTAATCCAAATGCTATTATAAATATGATACATGCTAGCATGCAACATGACACAATTCAAGGGACCATTACTCTGTACAAGGTCTACCCCCAACTCAAATGTTATTACAAACATGATACATGACTGTATTTTTTTATGTGTATATGTATGTGTGTATTTTTTTATGTGTATATGTGATGTGTGCGTGTGTGTGTGCGTGTGTGTGTGTGTGTGTGTGTGTGTGTGTGTGTGAGTTACAGGTGCTTATGACACACCCTGTAGGACCTAGGATCTAAACACTGGTCCTTATGATTGACAGCAAGTGTTCTAACTCCCTAGGCCATCTCTCCAGCCCCTATTAGCACACTTTTAAATTATTTATTTGGTGTGTGTGTGTGTGTGTGTGTGTGTGTGTGTGTGTGTGAGGACAACCTGCTGAAGTGAATTTTTCCTTCCACCATGTGTGCCCTGAGGTTTGAACTTGGAGTATTAGGCTCTGCGGCAAGTGTTTTTACCTACCCACTAAGCCATGTTGCTAGCCCTTCACCTTTGTTTGGAAGAGTCACTGGTCTGACACTCATCAAGTAGGTTAGGGTGGTTGAACACACGAACACACACACACACACACACACACACACACACACACACACACACAGCCTCTTCTTTCTCGGCACTAGGACTATCAACATGACTTTACCAATGTCACCTCTCCCAGCCCTTATTTATTTTTATGGGATAAAATGGTGACTGCAGAGTCTCAACTTCTATATTTCCAGCTTCAGAAACATTTTCTAAAAAGACCTGGATGTTTGAGGACATGAGGCATCCAGATGCCTGTGGGTCCCCATCATGAGTGTGTGGTTTGTCTGGGGCTCACAGAGCAGGGGACTGTCTTTGTTCTTTTCCCTCCAGGGAAAATACCAGGCAGACATCACTCCATGCCAGTCCCTTCCGACAGGAACAACAGCAGGTTTTCAGGGCTTCTGCCTACTCAGCAACATTGTCACATGGGAGAAACAAAAGGGAAGAAAAACCAAACCAGCATGGGAAGCCCGGAGGCTGAATTTGAACTCCCTGGATTTGAAAGAAGAGCATTGTGCTCCTGTTTATATCTGCAACAAAGCTGGTTATACACATGGTCCATTCTGGACACTGGACTCCACGGTGGGCTGAGGACAGCAGAGTAGTCAGGGCAGGTGGCGGCTGTCACCTTAATAAAGAATGGGAGGCATCATGCTCCTGTTAAGTTCCAACAGTTGCCTGTCCCTTGGACACAGTCTCTGTTGCCTAGGCACCATGCCAGGTCTAAGGACTTGCTCAGGGTCACCTAGCAAATGAGAGCTACATTAAGGGCTCCTGATTTTACAATCTCTTTCTGTCATTGGTCTGACTGACACAGAAGGAAATCTGTCTAGCTTCTCTGAGAAGGCCCCTGCTTCTCAGGATGAGGTAGACAGGAGCTGTGAAACAGTCAATGCTTGGCATGAAATGTAGCTACACTCTAGCCAGAGATGGACAGCAGCCTTGGGTTGGCCACCCACTAGAAAGCCAGGCACTGACTGGACAAGAGAGTGGGTCTACCTACCCATGGAAGATCCAGGTGCTACACTCATCAGCCTTGGTAATGTAGTTCTCAGGAAGTAGCCCAGAGCAGCCGGTGGTCAGTGAGGTGCCATAAATCCAGCCCTCGCTGGTGCTGGTCTGTTCCATGGGAGACATGAAGATGAAATCCCCAGGGACCAACTCTAGCTCATCATCATTCTGAGGGGAATAGGGGTAGATCACCTGTAACGTCTGCAAAAAAGGAGAGGACACATGAGACCCGTTGACTATCCTTTTGAACACCTCAGGCACTAGACCATACTCTACATCTGCAATAGCCACGTGTGCGGCATACAGGAGTCCCGGGGGTCGCAGGCTCTAGGCAGACCTGGCTCCAGATCAAAAAGCACTTCTTCTCTCACCAGGGTTTATGGGTAGGTGCCTGGTGCTCCACAACCTTCCAGACCTCCCAGTCATGCTATCACTTCCTGTCAGCACTCTGAAGTGGGTTTCAGGGACTCATCAGGAACTTGGAAGGTTCTTCCGGGCAACTGCTGGACATACAGACGTTCATTTCCCCTGCTGTATCTGCTCTGGCAAGCACTAGGCAGATGGGAATTGTGCAATGCAACTTGTCTTCTACACAGGCTCACAGACGGGGCCAGAGGGATGGGAATAAAGTGTGGCCCTTATTTATGTATTTATGTAGTGTGTGTGTGTGTGTGTGTGTGTGTGTGTGTGTGTGTGTGTGTGTGCGCGCGCGCGCATGCAGGAGTCCTTGTAGGCCAAAAGAGCATATCAGATCCCCTGGAACTGGAGTTACTGTGTTGTGAGTAGCCATGTGGCTGCTGGAAACCACTCAGGTCTTCTGCCAGAGCAGTAAGTGCTTTCAGCCACTCAGGAAGGATGGCCCATTCTATGTGACACATCAGATAGAGCAAAACATAGTCTACACCTTCATGGCTCTTTTTCCAAGCCTACAAATGTATCAAAGACCTTGAAAGAAAACTCTTTCTCTGAGATACCAGTATGGGAGGATAACCAGCTTCCACCAGAGCAGATGGAAGCCACATGTCCTTTCTCTGAGCTCATAATAGGCCTGCAGGGCAGACATGAGGCCGACATGTGGCTAATTTACCTTGTGTGTGTGTGTGTGGGTGCGTGCGTGCGTGCATGCGTGTGTGTGTGTGTGTGTGTGTGTGTGTGTGTGTGTGTGTGTGTTGGGGTGCTTCCTTTTTTGGTGTATATAAAAGCATCGTAACTCTAGACCTTTTTTAACTTTAGACATTTGTTTTTTATTACCAGCAAGAGACCTCAATAGGAAGGAAAATTATCTCCTATTTTGTTTGTTTCCAGACAGTGAGGAAGGTAGAGGAGGCTTTCACAGCCTTCCCTAAGGTCCCAGAGCCGATGGTGACAGGCTACTGGTTCTCATCCTCTTAGATTTCAGCTTTAGTCTCCACCAATACCTAGACTACAAAAGTTAAATGTGGTGCCGTAAGAAAATGCTGGAGGACAGAGGCATGGGCACTTCTAGTGACCCAGGGTTCCTGCAGCCAGTCATGACCCTGAGGCCTGAAGCACTGGGTGGACCTGTGAACTAGCCAGCTGCTGATGTCAAGGTGAGCCACCAAAAAATTATAAAGGGCTCTGCTGTGTGATGGGGAGTAGCTGTTATCTCAGCACTGGGGAGGCTGAGCTGGAAGATCATCTTGAATTTGAGGTTAGCCTGGTCTATATAGTGAGTCTGGGAAAGCCTGGGCTACAGAATGAATTCTTATCTCAGAAGAAAACAAAATAAAGTTATCAAACCAAACGAAACCAAACCAAATAAACCATTTTCTTCTGGAAACCTCCGAAGTCGATAATGCATAGATTTTTTGTGTCCCTGGCTTTTCTAATTAGGGCGCATGCCTTCTGTTTCTAATTCTCCAGTTATCTGTCAGTTGCTTGTCGGTCTGTCTGTCCTCTGATCACCTCCTTCCTCCCTGTCCCATCCCTCTCTGACCGTCATGCAAGCCAAGGGCTCTGTTGAGTTGATTTAAAAAAAAAAAAATTATTTTAAAAGGAAAAAAAAATCGATCAATTCTGGGTGGTCATGTGATGGTGTAGGGGAAGGCAGTACTGCTGTTCCCGGAACAGGACACCCCCCCCCCCCTGCTACCTGAGCACAGCTTAGTTTTGGCTCACATTAGGCCTGGCCTGGAAGTTCAGCCTTGCCTTTGAAGAGCTCAGAGAAGTACTTCTTAATGCTGAACATTCCACCTCAGGTATCCCTGGGAGCATCAAGGCACGAGGAGGCCTGGAGACAATAGATCCTAAGCATACGTTAGAGGAACAGTAAATTACTTTGATTGATTGAATTTATAACTGAAAAATCAAGGGAGTTCATCAAGTCTAACATTGTAACTGGAGGCTGTGGGTGTAACTTAGCAGTGGAGTGGGTGCTCAGGTGCTCTGGGTCTGGGGTACAGTCCCTAGCACCAATAAACAAACGATTAATAATCCAGACCCAAGTACTCTCTGCTACTTTCTACCCTAAAAATAGACAAAAAACTCAGCCCAAGTCCCAGAGACATGAGACCTGGGCCTAACTTGCCCTGCACTGGGCTACTTCAGGGTTTTATGTTTTGTGTTTTTCTAAGAATTCTTGAGAGATGGCTCTTTGTTACCAGCATGGGCTGCTCTTCCAGGGGACATGGATTCAGTTCCCAGAACTCACATGGAACTCAATTCTGGGGGGATCTGACTCCTTTTTCCGGCCTCTATGGGCACTGCATTCACATGGTGCAAAGACACACATGCAGGCAAAACACCCACATATATGAAATAAAAACAATTAATATTAAAAGACGACTTTTGTGCCAGGCTTAGTTTTTTCCTCCCTCATTATTCCACAGAGACCAAACGCAATGGCAGCTGCTGAAGAGAAGCTGTGATTATGTGATTTCTCTGTTGTGCCTACCCTGTGCTAGCTGTTATGGTAGCTTTCCACACATCCCCGTATCCTTGCAACAGTCCAGGAAAGAGCTCCACCTCAGAGAAGAGAAAACTAAGAATTGGGAAAAAGATTCACTCTATGTGTGCACGTATTGGTGTGTGTAGGTCAGAAGTCAATGATGAGTGTTTTTCAAATGACTCACGACTTCATTTTAATTGAGTGAGTGATTGTGTGTGTGTGTGTGCTCCACATATGTAGGTGTCCTCAGAGACCAGAAGGGGACCTGTAGAGGTGTTTGTGAGCCCCCCTGACAGGGTGCTGGGAACTGAATTTGGGTCCTCTGGAATATAAGTGCTGAGCTGTCCATACTCATTCTACCTGATATTTTCAGACAGGGTCTCTTATGGAGCCTGGAGCTTCCTGATGTGACTAGATTGGCTATGCAGCAAACTCCAGGGATCCTCCTGTCTCTGCCTCTGCAACACTAAAATCATAGATACATGCCCCAATACGGGTTCTGTTTTTGCTGGGGTACTGGATTCTGCCCTTCAGGGTAATCTCCCTAGTCTGTTTTTGTTTGTTGTTTTGCTTTTCAATTGGTTGGTTGGACTTTTTCTTGTGGTTTGTTTTGTTTTAGTCAAGGACTCATATGGTCCAGGCTGGCCCTGAACTCACCGTGTAGCAGAAGTTAGCCTTTAATTTCTAATCCTCCTACTTCTGGGATTATATGTACCACCACACCTAGTTTTATGTGGCTATGGGAACTGATTCCAGGGTCATTTGTTCCAGGCAAGCACTCTATAGACTGAGCTACATTTCTAGCCCATGAATTACAGAAACTGTCCATGTGAATCTAACTACTGCTAAAATGAGCCAGCCAGGATGGCAGCAGGAGCTGGAGGCTACGAAATGTCTACTTTCTGTAGACCTCTGTCCCACATTTCTGTGGCCCGTCACACTAAGCGCTACAGCTCAGTGTCATCACCAACACGGAAGGGGGGTGAGCTACAAGAGGGCATCTGAGTTTGTGCCCGAGAATGTGAGACAGCAGAGGATAATACCTTACAGCTTTCCTAAACATCACTGAGCCTTTGAGCCTTGCTGTGTCCTTGCCTAGGTCAGTCTCCTCTGGTGGTCCATTCCCTGCTTAAAACAATCTATCCAGCCTCCCCCTGGGGACAGGATGAAGGAGAAGGGAGGGAGTTGGGATTCGCACACACCGGAAGGGCTCAGGAAGAGCAGAAGACCCCAGAGAGAACCTAGAAGGGAAGTGGGCACCTTATCAGAGGAAGCTGTAATAGTTGAGCTTTCACAAATAAGAGATAAAGGGGCTACGCTATTTTTAGAAAAGAATTCTCATGGGCATTTGCAGCCTCTTTCCTGCTGCACAGACGGAACAGAATGTAGGTCACGAAGAAAAGCGGTTACCCTTGGAGTTAACTGGAGGGCAGTGTTCATTAGAGGACAAGCCCTGTGGAATTCCACGGCCAGCCTCTCCTCTCACAAAAGTGACTTCTCCAAAGCCTGGCACAATCACCCCTACCCCCACCTTTTAATTCTGCCTTTGTCCTGGGAAAAGTCTGACCAGCTACACCTCTCTCTAGTATGTTTCAGGGCTCATTCTAGATGGTTCCAGGGAGATGGTAAAATTCTTAAAATCCCAGTTAGTCAACTTAGTCTGCCTCAGGAAAAACCAACATCCAGTGACTGAAGGAAGATCTCATCAGGAAGGTCAGGCAAGCCTGCCCTCAACACTCCCAAAGATCCATACCTCAGCCCTGAAGCTTTTGGTCCATAGACCAAGCTCTTAACACTTCCCAAACAACCAGATTGCCTGGGCACAGCAACAAGTCCTGTTTGTTTCTGTTCTTTATTTTTTTTTTCATGTTAAGAAAGCATAAAAGAACCGCCCAAAGGTCATATATGCTAACATAATAACAATAGCTTCCTTGTTGAAAAATTGGGGAACGTGTAACTATTGATTACTAAATGTAATTAATTAGAAGAAAAATTTTCATCTAACTACAGCAGTTCTCCACTAATCATGGGATTTATTCCAAAACCCAAAGGGTAGGTAGGCCTGAAATTGCAGATTAGTACCAGAAACATTCTCTGTGTTGTGTAAAAATATACTGGGCATTTTTTCTATTTATAGCTCTGGTCAAATTTAACTTGTAGATTGAGAAAAATAACTGATAATAAAATAGAGATGAATAAAATAGAGATGTTCTAATAACACAGTGTAATAATTATCTAACGGCTATGGATTTGTGTGTTTACATTGTGTATGTAGTATATGTATGAGTGTGTGTGCAAGTGTATGTCCTGTGTGCTCATACCCATGTGTATGCACATGTGGGGTTCAGAGAAAGAGGCTGGGTGTCTTCTTCAAGCCCTCTCCTCTTATTCCCTTGAGACAGGGTCTCTTACTGATCCCTAAGCTCATCATTTCACATACACTAGCTTCAAGGATTCATCTGTCTGCCTCTCCATGCTGAGCTCACAGGCACATGGATCATGTCTAGCTTTTGCACGGGTGTTGGGGATCTGAACTCAGGGCTCAGTGTTTGCACAGCAAGCACTCCTACAACCTGAAACACTCTGTTCTCCTCTTCTACCATATGGGTTCCAGGAATCAAACTAAGGGTGTCAGGCTTGATAGCAAGTACTCTCACTGGCTGAGCCATCTCACTGGCCCTGAAAACTTCTTGCATGCAGTCTTTTTAAAAATTCTGCATGCTCAACGGTACTCCAAATGCTCTCAAAATCATCAAATATCTATGGATTTTGATTTTGTAGGTTTTATTTTTTTTGTTTATTTTTGTATCTACGTGTTTGACTCACCTCACGTTAGGATAATGCCCTGTTCAACATCAAAATTTACATAAATATAATATTAACTTTTCAACAATATATTTTCTGACTGCCCTCCTTTTTATTCCTATGTCCTTCCAATAAGGCTGACAGAGCAGACAGAACATGGAGATGATATCTAGGTGAACTGTGTTATACATGCTAAGCCTCTTGGGGAGTCCCCAGAACCTCAATAAAATCTGGAGCTCACTGACTCCTGCCCAAGTGCTCACTTACTCCCCTTTGGTCTCCATTGGCCTGTGCCTGTCATTTCCCTTTGGTCTCTATCACCCTGTATCACTATCAGCAAGCACTCCTTGTTCGTAAGGCATCCTGATGCCGGGGAATATGCAGGACTATAGGGAAACGTTACCTCATGGTTAGCAAACCGGATATCCCGAGAGAATATGGTGGCTACCCAGTCACACCCTAGCTTGACATCGATGTTCTGGGCGAGTTTCTCCAGAGTGGGTAGGTGGCTGGCTTGGAAGTGGTATGCCAGGGTCACATGCAGCTGTTTCTTATGAGGCTCCACATGAACTTCTGGAAAAAGGAAGTTAGGGTTCAGGGATTAAAACGAAAACACCACAGCAATGGAGGAGACAGAAGACACGGCATAGAAAAGCACCCTGGATGTCCTGTTCCCCAAATGACAAAGAAGGGAGTCCTGGGAGGGGCAGCAGAGAATTAAAGGGGTGGATCCCAGGCCCTGAAACAACCTCTTGTTCCAGAGATAAAAAGCCACACAACAAATGGCTTTTCTACAGGAGCTGAGGATGGGCTCCGGTTAATCTTTTTGGCTGACTTCTCCTGACAGTTCCAGGGTTCATCATCATCCCCACCATTCAGATGAAGAAAACTGGGGATCTAAAGGGCAACATGATTGATGTGGAAATACAAAGCGAGGTTTGTAACGGTGAGACTGCTGGAGCTGTTGTCGTCATCTGGGACCAAGCTTCCTGGGTTCTGGGAGTGTGGTGGGAAAATGAGGACAGTGGCGGTTACACTTGCAGTATAGAGTATCCTTCCCCCTAAACATTTACGTGAACAGTCACTTGTGGGGAGCTGTTCTTGCATTACTGCATGTTGTGGCCTCCCCTGCTGCTACCCACTGGATGCCAGGAGCATCTCCAATGTCACAGCAACCCAAAAGAACTCCCCACATGGGCAAATGTTTCCTCGGGGTGACACTGCTCTGGGCTGGGGCCATTTGAAGTATGCATACCATTATCCTAAAATGTTAAAAATAAAGCAGAACAAATCTGCTGACAGGAGGGATGAATTTCCTCTCCTCTTTGTATGTTACATGAGGAAGAACTTTTCTGCTGCTTCCCCGGTGGAAACAGTGAAGAACACACAACAAGAAGAAATTAAGGGACCATAGAACAGAAGCTTATCTTTTGGGTTTTGGCCCCCTTTCTACAGGGTGCTTCTGGGGAGGGAGTCCACAAGACGGGGGTTTGCATGTTTCTACAATCCACACTCTGAGGTCTTCAGTACTTGCTAATGAAATAAATGGACATGGGTGAGCCCTCTTGAGCCACTGAGAATGAAGAATGACACTAAATATACTTGCTGGAGGAATCTGGGTGAACCAGTAATTCTTGACTACTCAGGCTTGAGTTCTAGGGCAAAGACATAATGACCTACTTTGCACAAACTAGACCAGCTGTGTCAGGGCCAAGCAGTTCTGAAGATCATCACTAGGGGGCACCACAGAGACAGAGCCGTAAAATCACCAAGTTATTAGGGACTGTAGTAGATTCTTGGAGAGGGGACTAGCAGTCTCCTTTCTACATGGAAAATGAGTTCTTGGACTGTCTCTTATTCCAGGTGCACTTCAAGAATTGGCCACATCCTGCTCCTCTGATTTGTAAAGGATATGGGGCTTTTTGGTGGTTCTTGTAGTGATTTAGTGGGCTGACAATAACTACTGGGATTTAAAAAAAAAATTCCTTAAGAACAATGGATAAGAAGACAGGTGATTTTTCTCTTTGTTATTCTATCTCTTTGAAATGTTTCATCTCTCCATCAAATCTAGTAAACCCATGGCTGGTTCCTAGGAGAAAGGGGTTCTCAGAAGGGGATCCTAAGGCACAGGGAGTGTCTTAGGGACCCACAGTCTTTCTGAGGGTGGGTATACACTGTGATCTGCAGCTCTGCGGTTGCTTCTGATGACCCTCTTCCTGGGACACAAGCTCCATGCTGGGGCTTCTCTATAGAAATGCTACACAAGCAATACAAATAGCATCGAGGACAAATAGCATCGAGGTATTGCTGAAGGTGAGGAGACAAAGGAGTAAATAAGTTCTGTGGCTTGAATCACAGTCATATGTAAATTGAGGCAGGGAGGGGCACTGTGGGTGACCCCCTTCCAGCTTCTCATTAGCACTTGGATTCAGGGGATAAAGCTCAACCAGGACCAGGTAAAGCCAGAGGTGGTGATACACAGCTGGAATCCCTGCACCCAAGAGCCAGACACGGGAGGGTTATAGCTACATATCAAGTTTGAGGCCACTCTGAGGTGCATGAGTCCCTTATCTCAAAAGAAACTGTACAGTAGAGTGATCCACTACAACAGTCTTCAGCTTGATGCCTGTTTTCATGATTTACTATAAAGTGGTTGCACGCCACTGTGCCGTGTGCTACGGGATGACTGGTCAGACCCAGACAGAAGCACGCATGGCTAGGAGCTTAGAGGATGAAAGGGAGTTCTCCTGGATCTGGACTGCAGGAGATGGAGACAGTACAAAGGGTGACATTTATAGTTCAGTGGGAACAGTTATGTCCCTGGGAGGCTTGGGACAAGCCATGGGCAGGCTCTTCAGTAGATTAGCAGGGCAGAGAGAAGCCCAACATTTCACAAGGGATGTAGGGTATGCTTCATCACATGGGTCTACAAGATCCTCCACCTCCAGGATCCAGCCCTCTCTTTTGCAGAAATTACCATCTGACCTTCAAAGTCCTGTATGTCATAAGTGGAAGGCTTGGTCACGGACTTGTAGTACCACAGGGAGGAGGGGAAATCTTTAAGGGATGGAGCTTATGGGAAGAACTTAGGTTATCTGGGATGCCTTTGAAGAGGACACTGGGACCCCCTGCCCCTTGTGTTCACCCCTGCCTGTCTCCAGGCCTCCTTGGGATGAGCAGGTTTGTTCTATGCACTCCTGCCCTGACATTCTGGAAGCCTCACCATAGGCCAACTAGTTATGGTGCCAACCAGAGCTGGCTGAAAATTGGGACTATGAGCCAAAATAGATCCTTTCCTCTTTGTAGGCTAACTGTCACATAACCATTCCCATCCCTGCCCTTTTGAGCTCTGATCCTGGGATCCAGGACTGTGCAGACAGACAGCCCTGTGGTTATTTACCCGTTTTGGAGGCAGCCTCTGCGGCAAAGTCAGCCGCGAACTTCTTGAGGACCTCTGCGCTGTCTTCTTTGACGAAGAGCCCGATGAAGTTGGAGGAGGTATAGAGCTCCAGGGGCAGTGGGGCGGAGAACTTACATTTCCAGCGACTGACGGTAGTCTGCAGGGCCTCTCCCAGCGCATCTACCTTGCTGTCCTCGCACTGGGGATGGAAGACAAGCAAGCTTCATTACTGCCCAGGAGAGAGAAGCCTGCCACCCCTCAGCACTGAGCACTGTGTCTGTCCCCAGAGAGCTGAGGCTGATCATGCAATTACTTAACCAGAACTCCTGTCTACCAGGGAGGGAAGAGCTGCAGGCTCTCAATTAGCCAGACACTGATTATCCACTGGGCAGATGAAACTAGGGAATGCATCATGCATGACATCTCTCCCCTTGGTCTGTTGTGGCTCCAGGGAACCTTGCCAGACTGCCATCTGATTGGTTAGGCAGAAAAGGAAAGCAGGACTGAGGTATTGGTTAAAGAAAACAGAATTTCAGAGGAGTAAATAGAAGCATGGTAACAATAGCTAGAAACAATGTGATGTATACTCGGAAACTGCTAAAAGGTAGATTTCAGGGTTGGGAATAGGTGCAGTGTTAGAGTTCCTTCCTAGTATGCAAGAGGCCCTGAGCTCAATCCACAGACCCAAAGGAAAGCAAGGAGAGTAAGGCAGTACCTGGTCAAGTTCTTAACACAAATGAACAATGATGACAGGTAGTGTATATAGGATTAGCTCAGTCAACATTCTATAATGTATACATAAGCCAAACAGTCAAACTATATACCATACTCTGTCAATTAAATAAAAAGTTCTTGGGCCTGGGGAGATAGCCTGGAGGTTAAGAGCACTTATTGCTCTTGTAGAGGTCCTATGTTCTGTTCCCAGCACCCACATGGTGGTTCACAACTGTCTGTAACTCCAGTTTCAGGAGATCCAATCAATATCCTGCTCTGGCCTCTGTGTGCACCAGGCATGAACGCAGTGCACAGACATACATGTAAGCAAAACAGTTAAAAAAGAAAACCTAGAGGTTGGAGTAGGAGACATAGCTTAGTTGGTAGAGTGCTGCTGCCTAGCATTCAGGGAGCTGAGATTCCATCTCTAATACCACATAAAATTGGATGGGGGCAGGGAATAAGTGGGATGTGTTGAGGTCACATCTGAAAACCCAGTACTGGGGAAGTGAAAGATAATGTCAGGCCATACTCAGCCATATTGAGCTCTAGGTTAGACTGGGATAACCAACACCTTGACCCCTGGCCCTAAACAAGGAGACAACTCACTGTGAAGGAGTGCTTGCTCTGCAAGGGTGAGGACCTGAGCTTAAATCCCGGGGCCCACAAAAAGTCAGACATGCTGCAGCTGCTCAAAAGCCCAACGCAGGAAGGCCGAGATAGCTGCGCCTGACAGCTTGTAGCACACCAGCCTCACCCCCCAAAAAGTGAACTTCCAGTTCAGTCAGAGACCTGTTTCAAGGGGATACAGCAGAGGTGGAGAGGAAGCTGCCTGAAAGTCAAAGGAGGAGGAGTGGGGTGGGGTGGGGGCAAAGGAAGACACAGAACACAGCCTCGGGGCGCCCTTTCAGCTGCACCTTAGACAACAGCTGTCTCCACCTCCACTCCCAAGCTTGCTGGGAAAAAGGAGTAAGTCTGGGAATGGTGACGTCATCCACCTACCCTCTTTGGAGGGCTGGGAGGAAGAACGAGTCTCTAAACCTCTGAATGCTTTTCTGCAAGATCCTGGCATGACTAAGGGGAAGTGACAGTTGATTTAATTTTCAGAGTGACTTGCTAGAGACACGGTGTCAGGAACATGTTTCCTACCTGAGACACACGAAGAGAGGCTACGTTGGGGGTGGGGGAAACAAAGCAAAATGTATTTTGAAAATTGTTTGATAAGGCTACCATCCTGTTTTCCTGCGGAAAACATGTGGGTAGGTCAACTCCATCACTGTGAGATCGGAAGTAGACATACACTTCAAACATCATAGTATAGAGGACTGACTTAGCCGCTAAATAAGCTTTGCCATTGACAGCTAGGGTGTGGACAAGGAACTGGGGCAGGTGAGGCGAGGGTTATCTTTAAGTCTCTAGAAAAGTCTAGTAAGACTGTGTAGTGCTGTCCATTAGGTGGAGTGGCTTTTCTTGTTTGTAACCTATTTATCTTGTTGCCCAGTCTTTCTGTTTCTTCCCCTGCCTGCCCTGAGAGCTGGCCAGGCATGGTGTCACATGCCTGTAATCACAGCACTTGGAAGGCTGGCTGAAGCAGGAGAATGAGGAGTTCTGGGTCATCCTGGGTGACGTAGCAAGCTTGTAGCTGAGCTACTTGCGCGTGTGTCTCACAAAATAAAAACAAAGGTGAAGAGATCATTTGGAGTACACGGCATGTAAGCAAGCAGGAGGATGTGGAGTTCAACTGCCAGAACCACATAAAAAAATGTTGGGTGTGGTAGCATGGGCTTGTAATTCCAGCATCGGGGAGGCAGAAACAGGGGAATCTCTGGGACTTACCGGCTAGCCTGTCTAGACTCCTTAATGAGTCCCAGCCTAGACTACAAGGTAGATGGATGGCTTCTGAGAAACACCTGAGGTGGATCTTTGGAGAGAGAGAGGGACAGAGACAGAAAGAAGAGACACAGACAGATACCATGACTCCTATCCTAAGAGTGGAACATGTGGACAGTAAACATGTATGAAGCTATGTCAGTGGCTGTTGAGGTGCCAGGCCAGAGTGAGACCCACAGAGGGTTAGGCTTGTCCTTCAGGTTGTGGAAGTGCATGGTTGTCCTGATCACCAAGTCAAGCATGTGGAGCTGGAGCGAGGCCCTTGCTATGGACCACAACAGCACAGACTCCTGGGAGGGCTGCCCAGTGCTGAGAGCTCCTAACATCTCCTTAGTTTTCTTGAACAGCTCCTATGGTCATCCCAGGTCCCGGGGGGATTGTCTGGATGGGTGGAGAGACAGGAATGTGATGCTGCTCACCATGAAAAACTGGCAGAGGGTGATGTGAGGGAAGATGTTGTGGGCCTTGTTCTTCCCACAGATCTGCTTGGATTGCTGCCAGAAGTCAGAAAGCTTCTGGGCTAACGGGCCGGTTGGGCGGAGGTAGAGGACATACTCCCGAGGCAGGGGGTCATCCAGGAAGGGGTCACCGACATGGGAGAACAACCTGTGAGAGAGAAGAGAATCCAGAAACCCACTGGAGAACAGTGAACAAAAAGGAACAGAAGAGGCAGGCCCATCCCTCTCCATGCTTCCCCCGAGGACCGCATGGAGAAGGACTTCCATTTGTGCTGTAAAGACCCACCCTTTGTAGCTCATACTCCTGATGGAGAGAGACTTCTGTTCTCCAGAAAGTGGTATTGCCTTCTCATCCCACAACTCCCTAAAAAAAAAAACCCAAAGCTGCTCTCCAGGAAGCATCCTTGGGTTAACTCCAAATCCTGTCTCCGCAGAGTAGTTTCCTTGCATACACCCTGTCCTTTAGCACTATCTGGAGCTCCTGTATCTCCAAAGCCAAAGGAAGCCCCAGGAAGGTGGCCTGTGGGCTTCTCTTGGAAATGGCATCCTGGCAAATGATTAAGTAGGATGGTTTTCTAAATTGGCCAGTCTGGCACCCACACACGCACAGTGAATCTCGAGGTGACTGGCAGGGCTCAGGAAATGTAAGCCTTACAAAGATTCTGAAAACCTTTAAACCGATCCAAGGAGAGACACATACCCTGGGGCCAGGGCAGAGGAGGCAGGCGACTTGATAAATGGGCCAGTCACATTTGGCTCACCCCCTCCTGGAAGGGTCCATTAGAAAAAGACCGCACACCCGCACTCCTCACAGACACTCAGAGTTAATTACAGGCTATTTTCTCAATTTATTTATTTCATACCAACCAGTCACATGCTGCTTGAACACTTCTTCCTCCTGTGGATGCCAGAGCTTTTTGTCTGTGAAAAGAAATCAAATATCTATTGTTGGTATTTTTAGCCTTCCTCTCAGTTTCTCTCACTGGGGTGGAGTGGGCAGGGGGCGACATCAGAGTTTGCCTTCCTGGCACTGTTATGTGGCATAGGAAAGAAGCCTGCAGCAGGGGCTGCTCAAGGGTCACAGGAAGACAGACTGAAGGTAGGACTCATCATTAATTTCCATGCAATTAACATCGGATTTGCATGCAGCCTGACATCCAGTACCGTCTATTTTCAGTTGTTTCCACATTAGGGTTTTATTTTTCACTTCCCTAAAAGTTGTCATGTCTGTACTTCTCCTTGATTTTCACCCACTCATTTCCAATGACCTAGATCCCCCTGCAGAGAAGATTCTTACAACCCTTGATGGATGGGTGAGGAGGTGGGGCTAAATGTCTCCATGGACACTTAGATAAACGCACTTCCTCCTTCTCCATGCCCCATCCACCCAGGTGTATCCATCACCTCCAATTATGTCACAGACATCTTTGGGGACTGATAATATTGGGTAAAATAGAGATAGGAACAGTAACATCAGTTACTTCTGGAGAGACTGCTCATAGCCCTCCTGATGGTGGGGCCGGTATCTATGGGAGACTCACAGCGGCGAGGCACTGCACACGAGCTTTCAAGGAGCACTGCAAGGCCAGGTCTACCAAAGCCACAGAGTTGTGGATTTGGGGATCCAGCTACAGTGCTGGTCATGCCTCTCTGCATTCATGTCCACGTGCACACAAGTTACTACTCACTGTCAACTGTTTCATCAGCACCTCTCTGGGTGCTGGGAACCAGATTCACATGGAAGTCAGCCAAGTAGGCAGAACACAGGAGCTGTAAGCTAACTATCTGGGGCAAGAACAACGGAGGGAGCTGGGTATGGTGGTGCACACCTCTGACCCAGTGTTGGGGGAAACAGAGTTCAGCTTGGTTTTCATAGTGAATTCCAGGACAGCCAGGGCTACACAGTGAGACCTTGTCTCAATAACAGTAGTAGTAGTGGTGGTAGTAATAGTAGTAGCAGTAATAGGAATGGAGGGAAAACTTGAGAGCTCTGACAACACACAGAGTCTAATGACAGCACCGAAGAGGGGTATTGACTCCTGGAGGAAGGAGGTGGAGGAAGATACAGAGTCCTCTACTCTGTCACAGGATGTAGAGATGGATAGTAAGTACATGGAGTCTTGGGCAGTGCTAACACATCACAGGTGGCCAGTAAGCGATCATTTTCAAAACAAGTCATCAATAAGGGATCATTTTTGTCCCCCTTGCATTACACTGACTTGGAGTCATGGGGGGGGGGAGGGAAAGAATTCAAATTGAACTGTCACTCTTTCTAAGTATCCTTTTCCTGTTTGCCTGTGTCACCTGGGTCTGTCTTTCTCTCGTGACCCCTCTGTGGACCACTAAGAACAATGAGTATTGTGAGAGTCTCTGTGTCAGCCTGGGAGAGACCTCAGACATCATTTGTGAGCCCAGTTCAGTCCACCAAGGAAAGCTCCACAGGAGAGCAGTGGAGAAATGGGCTTCAAACAGTCTGCCTGGGGCGCTGCAGAGCACAGGGCCTGGAGTTCTGTTACCAGCTGAGAGCTAAGTCAGGCCTGGCTTTCCTCCCAGCCTGACTCCCCTGTGGCCCACTACCTGGACCAGCTCTGTGAAAGACAAGCTACCACTAAGGAAGTCCCAGAAGGAAGAGGCAGACCCCTGGAAAGAAAGGAAGCTGGAAGCATGGCTCTCTCTCACCCTTACGACCATACACACCTTTGAAAGGTTCTCCCCAGCTGAGACCCCTGCCACGATATTTTAGGAAGAGACGACACATATATGCGAAAGCCCACCGGTTGTAGGGAGCTGGAGCCTAGATTAAATGTTCCCAAAAGGACCCATTGTTCCAAAAACAACTGGAATGAGGAAAACTCATTTTCAGCCCAGACAATGTGCTATTTATATAAAGCATCCAATCTCATTTTTCTCGCACCCTTCCCCCAGTGAAATATATCGGACTGAAATTTAATTTATTTCTTTGGAGGAGCCACAAGAATCCTCGGGAAATGAGAGATCTAATTAAGTTACGGTCTCCCTAACTTAAAAGACTTGTTTTGGAGAAGGTTCAAAGGGAAAGAATGGAGAGAGATAATGAAAGATTTGAATGTGATAAGTCTACGATAAAGGTTAAGGAAAACCCAAACAGTTCTTTTTGGAGAAGACAAGATGGAAACTTTCATTCTGTGGAAGGGTATCACATCTAACACATCCATTCTAGTGAGGGTTAGCTGTGCTGGCTGCAGCACAAAGGGCCCGGGGCCCTGGAGAAGGAACTGTCTCCAAGAATCATGTCTTAGATATTTTTTTAACCTTTCTTTTCAGATTTATTTTATTTTATGTGTGTCTTGTCCGCATGCATGTATATGGACTATGTTCATGCCTGGAACCTGCAGAGGTTGGATGATGGTATTGGGTCCCATAGAACTGGAGTTTTGGATGATTTTGAGCCAGCATGTGGGTGCTGGGAATCAAACTCAGGTCCTCTGGAAGGGCAGCCAGTGCTTTTAACCGCTGAACCATTACCCAGCTCCCCCCATCCCTTTTTAGGGAGATACATAGTGGTGAGGTCCAGAAGGCAACTTGTATAAGTTGGTTCTCCTTCCATAAGTGATTAAACTCAATTTGCTAGGCTTTGTGGGGAACACCTTTACCCACTGGTCTCTAAATGTATTTCTAAAGGTTTCTAGAAAGTATTTATACATCTGAAGCAGAGTAGTAAAATTCCCTAGGAAGGGAAAACCCCATTTCTACGGGGGCCTGGAGATCCAAAGCAAGCTGGCTACAATTCGGATTGAGCATGTTCCCAGAACTCAGCCCACAGAACAGGCAGACTCGGAACAGTGGCAGAAGACTTCCAGCTCTGCTCAGCTCAAGAGAGTTGCCATAGTATGCCACCCTCACGGCCCACACCGTGGAGCCAATGCCAAGGGCAAGTGGGAGTGTGCTGACTACAGTCAAGCATCTGCTCCTCTCAGAGCAACTCAGAGGCCGGCAGAGGGGTGGCTTCAGAGTCTGCTGGATCCTTCAGCAGACAGAGAGCTGCCCCTTCAGCCTGGAGTGTGGGAGTCCAGGCTCAGAGGGGCATTGCAGCAGGTAGGATGGCCTCACCTGAGACCAGTAAGAGGGACTATTTGTGAGTTCCTGACATTCTGTCACATGGAACATCCATCCCGGTCCTCACTGACATCTAGCATTCATTTGTAGTTCACTATGAAAAACAGCACCAAGTCTCCAGACTACTAAGGAGGGGACCAGCTCAGGTGATACAGAGTAAGGGCTGATGGACGAGCCAAACAGACCACTGGGAGGGCCCCAGACACTGGGAGGGAGGCCATCAACCAACCACCTATGGTGGGCTCTGCCGGGAATCCTCCGGTAGCTCCCAGGATCTTCAGATCTTTGGATGTGGAGGTCATGCCTCAAGGTCATGCTTTTGAAGGAGGTTTACAAAGTACCTTTCTTGCTAGTTCACCTATGACGCATCTCTCCCTTCTTCCCCCTTTCTTCCTCATCTCAGTCCTTCCCTTTCTCCTAGTCCCTCCCCTCTGTCCTTTTTGTTGTCCCCTCACCCCCTGCCTGTGACTCTGCAGGGAATCAAATGAAAAGGAGAAGCTCAGCCAATGTTCTCTGGTTTCCTTGGCTGATCCAGACCCCACCATATGCTCTGCTCTTGATTCCCTCAGACTATACTCCACGTTACTCTAAGACAGCGGTTCTCAACAACTGCCCTAATGCTGTGACTCTTTAATACAGCTCCTCAAGTTGTGGTGACCCCCAACCATAACATTACTTTGTTGCTACTTCGTAACTGTAATTTTGCTACTGTGAATTATAAGTCATGATGTAAATATCTATGATGCAGGAGATCTGATATTTGACCACAGGTTGAGAAGCACTGCAAAGGCACCGTGCTACACTTGAAAAGGAACCATGAGAGATGTCCTTGTTTTGAGGGAAGTAGAATCTTCTTCGACTGTTGGACACTATGTATGCTACAAGCTCAAGCAGCATACTCCATGGAACTTGACTGGAACCCCCTACTTTCTTGCTCTTTGAGTGGAGCCCCCTGCTACCCTGGTTCTATAGAATCTCATTGTGGGCCAGACCCTCCTGCTAACTCAGAACAACTACCAGGGTCTGAACAGTTAGGAGTATACAGAGGGAGAAAGCAATGGTTTTGCTGGTAGAGGGTTCACACAACAAAAGAAAAACAAAAGCAAAGACCAAACAAAATAAGGAGATCCACAAATGGCATCTCAGAGGGGAACATGAAGGGTTGTTGTGGCTGAGCTCAGGTAAGAGGGAGTCTGCCTCCACAGTGGGGAGTCCTGGGCTCAGGGTCCTCAAACATTGCATCATACTACCCTAGAATTAAAATCAGAGGTGCCAGGGGCAGGTTTACCTGCTTTGGGGGAAATGGTGATGACCTTTATTCACTGGACATCACACAAGCTACTAGCTCAAGGCAGTCACACTAGGAGCATCAGGTGTACCACACTCCTCCAAACTGGAGTTCTGACAATCGCTATAAGAAAGAGTGAGGACCAAACCAAGAACAACCAGGAAATGACACTGAGAGAGGCCAGAGCATCATGCAGTGCTTAACAGATACCATTTACTCTTAGTGCCCCAATGGCAGTCTGAGCTCTGCAGAGGCCTCCAGGACAGATCAGCAGGTTGTTCAAAGGAGGGGTGCTGGAAAGGGTGTTTGAGGTGCTGAGCAAAACTGGCATGCCATTGCAAGACCCTGAAAGCTGAAGCTGCAGTGGAGACAGCTCTGAGAGACAGACAGAATTCTGGCAGTTTTGGGGCAGGAATAATGGGCCAGGAGTTCAGTGCTTAGTCTAGGTAGACAGCCAGGCCTAGGGGTCATAAACAGAGCTTGTTATCGGATATCCAGTACCTAAAACTTTGCTTCTCAGCTTGACTCTTACTTCTGT